AACACATGGATGGTTGCCACATTTTCCTCACATCCACTTTGGCTGTAGTTACCTAAGCCAGGCAAATATAACCATTTTCCCCCCTTTCAAATCCATTTCTCACCTTCTTAATAATTTCTGGCTTTTCTGTGAACTCCATCTGGTTTAACTAATGAAGGCAAAACTGAATATAATATTCCATGTCTTTATTACATCCGAGCACCATGGAAAGGCTCATTGTAATTTTTTTATTATTAATTTATTTATTTTTCTGTAAGTTCATCTCCATATGCAGTCTGAAATGCTGCCATCTTATTCTGCAGGCTCCTGTTGAGTTTGTTCATCATTCTAGAATTCGTAGGCAGGGTTGGCACCCTCCTTCACATATTTCCCACTTTTCTACCCTTTTCCTGTCAACGTAATACATAACCTAACAAGCCCCTGCTGAAATTCATTCTTTCCCAGAAGATGCCAGTAGCTGATTGGATGATGCTGGACAAAGTTTTGGGCAAATTAATTCATAAGGAGCAGTCAGTAACCAAAGCCGAAAAGAAGTTGTCAAAGGGAGAGATGTGGTGTTTGCCTCCATCCTGATTATAGAATTTCTTCTACCCCAAACCTGGGTCTGATAGAAAGCTTCTGTGTTACTTAAAAGATCATTGCTTGAGGTAAGAGGCTTTTAGTGTGCTGTTGACAGCCCAGATAGTAACATTTCTTTCTGAGCTGATGGCACCTCTTGCAGCAGGACATTGGCTCTGCTCAGGCTTACTGTGCCTGCCATCTGCATTGACTACATGGACAAATTTCTGACTACCTAAAGCAACGGAATGATCTGAGGTGGTGGTGGGCTGAACTCATGCCCAAACTATAACTCAAATTATTGCAGTCAGAAACTGGGTCTTACAGTTTGATTTGAAATTTCAGCTTTCCTCCTGGCATGAAAAAATATGGGGTTTTTTTTGAGCTTTGTTTCCAGAGCCTTTAAAAGAGATTTTAGATCTCCATGAACTGTATCACTGGTAGCTTGGTAAAACTTTGTTGCCACCTTTTCTTTCTGTAGTCAGTCCCTTTATTTTCTTGTGCCTTCTTTCATGGCTTCATATGCAGAAATTGTCTTATTTCCTTGGACGGTTAGTGACAATGGCACATAAGGGAAGACACCTAGAGCACTCATAAAATTGCAGTCTAGTGCATACTAGTTTAGAGACATGGATAGATGGGTCTGAAAGATTTTTTTATACCCTATACTGTGGCTTGAAGAGAAAAGGGAAAATTCTTTGCCTTGACAATAACACTTCCAAAATCTCAAGCAAGTTTTTTTTTAGTGTAGTAAATGGCTTTATTAATCAAAGTTTTATCAGACAAATCCATCTTTCTGAGTGTTATAGGTGTTACCTGGAGAAGAAAATAATGGGATCAATACATGCTACCATGAGCACCTGTGCTGGTCAGGATTCCTTATTCCCCCAGCTTGCTGGAAAAGAGCTGGAAAAGCAGAGAACCTCAACATGGACATGTAGTTATTAGAGAACATCTTAGTGTTCCTTAATATAAGTTGTCTTAATAAAAGTTATCTGACATTGTGTTTCCATTGATTTAAATATCTAGCAGGGCACAGAGACTCCACATATTCTTTACATTTTCTTCTCCCTTTATTTATTTCTACTGAGCAAGCAGGCCATTGCTTTACTTCAATCATAACAGTTCTGGATAGTCTTTAAATAACTTGAAGAGAACTATAAAGACTCTGCTGTTGCTACTTAAGACTTCTACCCATGCACCTCCTGCTTGTAACATCATTTGCTGTTCAAGAGAGAAAACCTTTTTGGCTCTAATGGGATTTTAGATGTTTTGTGCAGAAATTGATTAGAAATCAGTTTTCTCAGTCTGGCCTTTCATTGTATCCATTCAGTCAACAATCAATGAAGACAACTTGAATTCTGTTGTCATACCTCCCACTGCCTGATGGCTCTCAGTCCATCATCCCTACCAACTTCAAATCACTTCTGCTCTCACTGGGGCTACTTTTTTTGATTGCTCTCTTCTGACTATTTTAAAGATAGATACCCTAAGCTCTGACCTCAGCTTTTCTTTCCCTCAACCCAAGACTGCCCGTCCTCCTCCAGCTATTTCCTTACAGTTAACGAATCTCCTCATTCATCTATTCTGTCTCCTTGCAAGTATTTTTAGACTGTGATCATCTCCCTTTAGTTGGCTATTTCTTAAAAAAGATAAATGCTATTTCACGTCATCTTTTTCTCATATGTTCCCTGTGCCTTATTGCTTGAGGCTCTTCTTGTTTTAACTCTATAATCTCTGAGGATGTCCAATGAAGACCTTTTGCATGCAGGCCTTGAGCACTGCCTAATAGTGTAGTATGAAGAGGAAAGCCATCTACTTATTTTGTATGAGATTCTTACTATATATAAGATCAGACTTCTGTGTTGCATCCCAGTTGCATCCCCTAATTTGTTTTATGCTGTCATTGGGCAGAATTCTGACACCTTAGAGGTGCCACCATTTTTTTTTCAAATAGCCACACTTAAAATAGACAAGCCACTAAGCAAAAGTCTATAGTTTCTGTCCAACGTCTTAAGCAATAGGAATCTTTTACTTCAGCCACTAGCATCATTAGACAAGAATTGATGCTCATCTGATTTTCCAGAGAAGCCCAAAGTGTTTTATTTTTAAAACATTTATAAGTATTTAGAACATTGTCACAATAAATCATGTTCCAAAATACATTTGTTATTGCAGCTGCTATATAATAAAATGCAAATAATAAGTAATGGCTCTCTAAGCGCAGAAAATGAGAAGCTTTTATTATTTATCCTTTTGAAACTTCAGAGCCATCGAACAGATTTAGACTTTATGACATTGCCATTCAGCTCAGCCTTCATTTACTAAATCATAGCTAAGAGCAAAGGTTCTGTTCACAGTCATTGAGCCCTGTTACATTTTCTTGCCAAGGATTTCTGTAAGTGGAAGCACAAAATATGACAAGGAAGGGATGTCAGGGTGGCTGGATAATTAGAGCTACTCTCAACTGCTCCTGCAGAACCACTACTCTACCCCAAACAGGGCACTCCACACACTTGGGAACAAGCAGAGAAATAAGCCAATATACAGGGTCAGCCTAATGTTACATTTTTATAGCTCTTTTCATCCCAGAAGATCATAACTGTAAAGGCTGTATCCATCTGAAAGTCCCACCACTACTGAAATCCAGTAGTTTGCTGCAAAGAAACTGTTTAGCTGCATAAAATGGTGATACAGCAATTTGCAGGCAGGAACACAGGTGTCTGACAGAAAGAATAATTGTATGGAGCTGCACTGCAGTTACTCAACCTGGGATCTGCCTGTGCTCCAGCAAGGACTGAGACTTCACAGTGAGGGCAGACATCTGTGACCCTGACACAAGGGCAGGGTGCAATCCAACCCTGGTGTGAAGAGGCAGCGGCCTTCATGGGCAGCTAATCCTGTTGTGCTGCATGGGGGCTGTCCTTGCAGAGTGCCCCACCAAAACTCTGAGTTGGTTGTGCCCTTTTCAGCATGCGACCCTGAAGAGCTTAAGTCTGAGACAGCGTGGCTGCAGGTGCTGTGTGCCATGAGACTGCAGTGCCAAACAAACATCAAAAGCAGAGGGAGAGGGTATCAAACCATAATTTCTGTTTATGTGAGAAAGCTGCTGCTGAAATGTTTGGAGCCTGTTGCTTTTAGAAACAGACAAAAGAAAAGAAGCTGGATCAACCAGTCTGTGGAATAAGAATAATCCTGGGAATCCTTCCAAGGCAAGGTGTATGGCACAAGGCACTGGCTTTGGATCCAGCAACAAGGTGACTGTCTGCTCACCTTGATGCCATTGTGCCAGTAAGGAATAATTTACATTGAGATGCTGTTTGTGGGCAATGGTAATAGCTTAATTTTTCTATAGCTTTCAGTTGAGGTTGACAGTGTCATTTATAAATAGAAATTAGAATGGATCTGCAAGTTGGTTATTAGATGAATTTGAACATTAAAGTAGGAAGGGTGAAAGGACTTACCCAAACTTATATGGCAAGGCCAATAAACAAACCCTAAGTTTTTCCTTCGACATGTCCGTGTGTATGCTGTAACCAATGTCCAGAGACAGCTAATGAACTGTCAAAAAGCACAATACAGCTCACCTAAAAAAAGCAGAACACTTTTTATTGTTCACTGTTAGTGAAATACAGCATATTACACATGGAAACAGCAGTACGTTCATGTGAACACACATAATGTGGAAGGACGTATATCCTACATGTTTTAATTTTCCAGCTAAGGGTTTTTCCAGTATACTTTCATGGTTACTCTGCTCATCACAATAGACTGAGTTTGTTATTGATCCAAACGTGTATGCAAGTGTCAAGTGGTATAAGATGCTTACAAAGCCTGTAGGAATGAGTGCCTCTGTTCTTCCTCATGAGAAATGCAAGAATGAAAGCAAGTGCATTCCCCTACCTGGGATGCATTGAGAGAGTTTCTGGGGAAGAAATAACATTTTTCACAACTTGTCCGCATACTCCCCAGCCTATTAAGGAGAAGCAATGGATTCCTACCCAGCCCACATAAGCCAATGCAGTTTGCCAAAATGGAGGCTTCCTGCTGCAGCTGCTGGGGAATCCAGTGCTATGATCCTGGTAGAGATGTCAGGGTATCCTTTCTTAAGGCACCTATTAGCACAGGATCTCAGCACTGATCTCATGGGCTGTTGCTGCAGCTAGAAAACAACCAACACATTAGGCTGATTAATCCCTGTAGTAATTCCATTAACCTCCTTAATGGAGTTATAACATGGAGGAATTTACCCCTCTGCAGCAGTGCAAGAGGGAATTGCGCTGGAGAGCCTGTAAATATGGTGTGGCAGGGATGTCCGAGGTAAACATCTTTCTGTTTGTTTTAGCGCAAAGTGAAGCACCCTGACCAGCTGGAAAACCTCCCCATCTGCTGGGATTTTGAGCTCTTCACAGCATTAATGGTGCAGGTGCCCCCTGCAGGGTTCAGACACATCAGCAGGGCTCCTGGCACCCTCCTGACAGCTCGCTGTGTACCCACACTTGTTCTCTCTCTCTCCCAGGCAGGCATAGCCTGCCTCATTTCACAGCTTCTCAGACACAGCCTTTTCATTCACCTTTGCGGTTTCCTCTCCTTGTGCCTCTGTCTGATTGTGATTTATCTGCTTGCTGTTCCCCATCAGAAGGGCAGCTCTGCCTGGACTGTGTCATTGGGCAAAGGACTGCTAAAAATAAGTAGCAGAGCTGCAGTCCTGACTTACCATTGCATAGGGAGCAGATCAAGAACAGAAATGACAAATTCTGAATTTCTCTTTCTCTCCCTGATTTTCTAGCCTCTGGAGAGGTTTGCCTGCCGCATTAGCCATGTGCATATCCTGCTCCTAGGCAGCTTGATTGCATTGCAGTTCTGTCATTAAAGGCTTCTCAGTACTATGAAGTCACCTCAAGTATATAAGAGCCAGAAAAGGCACCCTGCAAATCCCTCCTATGGAACAGACACCCTTTTTGCAGTCTACCACAACAGCCCACGCTCTCTGAAGCTCCTGCTGCGGTTCATTAGGGACTATACAGGGTGGCTAATGAGGCTGGGGGCTGGAGGAGTAAGGCAGGAAGCCACAGAAGGGTCTGACTAATTTTTCTGCTAGTTCACAGACTGTTGCCACATATGCAGGTGCACTGATGTGACTACTAAGCTGCAGTAACTCTTCATCTACGTGGTTTGTGATCTCCTTGTTAATATGCTAAATTTATTCTGTTTGATAGCCAGTCATTTCCTCCCACGGAGACTGCAATCCTGAGAGATGGAGTAGCCCATCTCTTTAGTGATCCAGGAGACAGTGGGAGAGAAGAGGGAAGGTGGTGTGTACATGGGATACACACACACGTTCCCAGGAATTTTATTTCTCTTTCTGCCTACGGCAGTCACTTCCCACGTTCAGCACAGGGATGAGTAGTCCTAGCAGCCACCTCTTGCCAAAGACCTCTTGCAGGTTCTCCCTCCAGGGCCGGGCTCTTACCACCATCCCCTTCCGCACCTGGTACCGCGTCTGCCCACGAAGGATCAGCAGTATCTGGTGGCAGCAGAAGCCAGCGCAGGCCAGTCCAATCCCAAGCCAGAGGTAGAGCATGAGGATGACAAACATCTCAGAGCTAAGGAGAGCTCCTGCAGGACAAGAGTCGGGGGGGGTAGGACAATAAGAGAAAGAGTTCAGACACACTTCACATGCCAGGGTAACACTCAGCCCCAAGATAAGCTGCCTATATTGTCTCACCACAAGCACGGAGTTAGGAGTGAGACAGGCTGGTTCCTCTAACTGTGTAAAATTGTTTCCTTTGTAGCATCTGATGCAATGGACCTTGCTGGGGAAATAATAAAATGATAATGGTCTCCACACACTTCTCCTTTGCTGTTATTGCTGTTATATTCTAGATTATAGGGTCAAATTCAGTCAGAAGTGAAACATATCTGTAAGACTTCAGCACTATTTTGAAGTTTGGTTAATTTACTTAAGGATCTACTCCCTCATCACAGTGAATCTAAGATTTCTAGGTTCCTTTTGAAAAAAGATGTGGGTCCTACAGCATGTAGATGCTTCCAGAAGCTTTACCATGTGCATTAATACTGGTATTTCTCTCTCATATTGCTATGTGCATATATATATATATGTATATATAAATAAAAATGTTAAAGGAAAAATAAAACAGAAATTACTTTTCTACCATTGAGCACAGACAGTTTTCATATGAATACAAGAAACAGAAACATAAAACTTTCCAAAATACAATCCAAATACCCTTTTTAAAGCTGCTTCTAGAATACTCAAAATACTTTGTAGGTCAGAAACTCCTAATTCAACAGCTTTTGTAGTATGTATTTATGTTGAATATAGTTAAATAAAAATAGTCTGTGGGCCTCTTCCTCTACAATGATTTTAGAACTCCTTCTGGAAGATAGAATAATAGCAGGTATCACTGGGTGACCTTACAGTGCATAGGCAGATCTAAAACCCATTAAAATAATAACTCTGTGTGTGCATATGAATGTGTACACACATATTCTGTGTATGTTGGTATATTATTAAATATCCATGTTTATATAAAGGCACAGAAAGCAAATTAAATGCATGTCAATACTGGTATAAATAGTGGCTGTCCTCTCACTGGTTCCTGTGAGGCTTAGCAATGAAAAAGCTCTCACATGCTCCTGTCCCTCTGGAAGACCATGGGGCAGACGGGCTTGGGCAGGTAAAAGCTCTTGTTGCTCTAAGGCCCTACAAAAGCATTTCTTCTGGAGCAGGGATTACATGGAAGGTAGAGGTGTGGTGCATAAAACAGGTGCGTGGCTGTTCCAGTTTGAAGTTCAATGCAAGTGTGGCTGAATAAGAATCTCTTGCCTCTTATACAGAAGGCTGGATTAGGTGGTGTCATTTAGTTTTGCAATCTGTGAATCCCAGTTTCTCCACCTGGCAGTGCTGTAAGTGAGAGATAGGGGCTGAGCAGTGACAATCACATCAAGCTTTGGGCTCAGCTAGCAGGCTTCTCTGAGGATGATTTGTAAGGACACTAACTACAGTCTCAAGCTTTCAGAGATTGTCCTCACTTGAAAAGGCACAGAAGTCATTCAGTTTTTTTCTAAATGCAATGTTGTCTTTCCCTTCTCATTAGATTCCATTCAGCTCAGTGGGCTTCGTAAGCAATACAGCAAGGGAAGAACAAGCCCCTTGGGATGATGAAAAATCCTCATACTAATTCTGTCAGAATATCTTAATCTATCAGGTAGATAGATTAAGCTAAATATGGGCTTCTCTGCTCCTCTTTTACTGGACCAGACTGGGACAGACATTTGTTCTTTCTTACAGCTCCTATTCAGGTAGGATATGGAGAAAGATAACTATTTTCTTTAGAGCTTTTACAAGGCAGCTGTAAGCTTTATTTCTATGAGCTGATGAAATTTAACATCAAGAAAGTAATTATCCTTGAATCCCCTTGCAAATATTAAGCATCTCTGAGCCATGCTCTTCAGATATGTGATTTTTTAATTCAGGTTACCTACATAAAGCATTTTTTAGAATTTATGGATCCAATCTGACCTGTGTTTACAAAAAGGCCCTCCATTCGTCCATCATCACCACAGCCCATTTTATTCTCAGATTCACTTTTGCTCTAGCTGAGCTGTTGTGATCTCAATCTTATTGCCATACATTATCTATGCTAGAAAAGCTGAATCACAGGCTGAAATTATAGACTCTGGGTCAGATTCTGAAATCCATGTCCAAGCAAAGTCTGGGCAGAATAAGCCAAGTGAAATTTTTCCCAGCATGAAAGCAGTGAACACTCAATTGACATAAGTCCAGCATATTCACCCTTCATCCTTCTTTTAGTCCTCCTCCAGTGCAGAGAGCATGATGGAGACGAAGAAAGTTTTTTCCCTACTATGGCAATGCTCTGTTTAGATCCTACAACACTAAAGTAATAGTTATGTTAGCTGAAAAATATTATATAGACAACTATTCTGGGCTGTTTCTCTTTCCCGAACTGGAGGTTAACTGCGCCGGTAGAAACCTGGCAGGCCCTGCCTCCCAAGCAACCAAGACAACTATATACTGCTCTGTGAGGCAGCAGTTTTCACCCTGACAGAGCTAGAGGCTGGGTGGGAGCTGCTGCCTGCAGAGGGTGTTCTGGCTCCCAGCCCTCTGTGTCCCTCTCAACCATTGCCCACGTGCTGTCTTTGGCACTGCACTTGCTGACACCAGAGCTGGGGCACTTCAGTGGCTCTTCAAACACATGCCAGAACCCAGCTCGGTGCAGATGGATCCTCAGAGTCAAAGAGAGAGAACTAATTCCTTGATAATCTCCTCCCACACCCCTGCTCTCCCTCCCAGGCTGCTGTGCTGAGTTTAGGCACAAGGGAAAAACATTTCCAGTGTTTTTAATGTTAGTGAAGCTCATGCAACATTATTTACAAAAATTCTTCTACTTGGAAAAAGGACTCCATAAAAATGCCATGGCAGGATTTCGTGTTTATTGTCTCTCAGTGATTACCATGACAAATCTGCTAATTTGCCAAGTAGAGAGATACTTGTTTGTTTTCAGAGGGCAATCCTGCAAACCCAGGCTGGAATCTGAACAGCTAAAGGGCCTCTCTGGCTCCTGTATTCCCAGCAGCAGACTCCACACTCAGATCCCATTCAACATTTCTGGTGACAGTGCATGAGCCAAAACAGACTCCAGGCCCTGCTTACTGAAGCTGCAAATCTAAAATATATGGGATATGTATTTTAGTCTAACAAAAGCTGATCTAAGCGTGTAAGACATGAGCTGCTTGCGGGGGCAGGGAGGGAGAAAGGGCATTTCCAGCAGTCACTTCCAGGACAGAGTAAGAGTTTAGGCTGTCAGCATAGTCCCCCCCCATAGTGAAGGGGGAGAGTGGACCTGAGTGAAGAGAATGAGAGTATCTTGACTCGGATAAGGGGAACCTGCAGACTTTTAGGATACAAAACCCTACAGTCCTCCCTACCTCTGCATGCAGGCCAGGCAAAAGATCCCCCTCACCTGCAGTACAAAGAGGAAATCCCTCTCCTCCATCTAATCGCAACACACTTCCTGCATGACAGATAGCCCTATTCTATCACTGGCAAGCTGGCTATGGGGCATTTTCCAGAACCTAATGCATTAGAAATCGGGTTGTGTCTGCAATCCAGAGTAAGTCCCAGCCTCTATTTCAGATGAAATGAAGTCCTTTGCAAAGGCTGTCTCTAGCCTGCAAAGTGAGATTTGTTGAACACAGACAATTGTCCCTCTGGCCCATTTCCCCACCACAGCTGACCCACACAGCTACCAGAGGAAGATCATATCCCCTGCAACCCAAGCATCTGGGAGAAGGAACATGCTCCTCATCTCTGAGGAAGGAGTCCTTACCTGAGAAGAACTGGCTGATGGAATGAGGCAGCAGAGTGAGGAAGGCCAGAGGGTTCGCAAAGGACATGGAGAGTGCAGCAGAAATGTAAGCCATGCCTGCCACCAGGGAATCGAGGCAAGCCAGGGAGGTGTAGAGGCAGAACATGATGAAGTTTCGCATGTTCCTGCTCCCAATGCAGTTCCCTGTGAAGAAACAGTGGTGGTCATGCCTCTGGGTGACTCTGGCACACAGTCTACAGAAGTGAGTGCTGGGCAAGGCTGAACCAGGGGACCTGCTTCCATCCAGCCAGTCCGCCACCACTTCGGATCCTTTGCCCAAATTTAAGCCCTTGCCCAAGTCCTCGGGGGAGCTCTGGATCACAAGGACGTAGTTGCCTAAGGCATTAGCTGAGAGGAAGAGGAAGAGGGCCCCATGCAGCAGAGCAGGAGAGAAAAGTGGGGTGGTGGAAGGGTCTCTGAACATGCTGGGGATGAAGAGAAAGATCTGGAGGACGAAGGTCACTAGGGAGATGCACAAGAAGTAGGCTGGAGCGACAACATTGAGAAACCTGAGAACTAGCATTGCGGATTACGTTCCTGCAGGGGAAAGCAAGGAGAGAAGGAACATCACCGCTCCGGCTGCACACTTCATCCTTCCATTTCCTGCCGGGTCCCGGCCCCGCTGCCTCCTGGAAATGCCCTCCGGGGGCCGCTCTCAGTCGCCGCCGCCGCCGCCCCACGGTCGCGGCCGGGCTGGGACAAAGGAACAGCCCGTGGGCAGTGACCGCTCCCCAGCGCCCGGAGGAGTCCCCCCAGCCCGGCGCCTGCCGCGGGTACTTGCAGCCGCGGTGCCCCGGAGGGGCTGCGGAGGGTCGGGGGGAGCGGCGGCTCCCGCGGTGTGCCGGCGGTGCGGGCACCGCTCTGCTCGCCGAGCAGAGTCCCTCTGCCAGGCGGGGTCAGTTTTGGTATTGCATGAGAGGAAAAAAAGGTGGTGCTGGAGGAGGGGGGAGTGAATTGAAAAGGCGGGGGGGCGGGGGGGGGGGGGGGGAGAAGGGGAGGGGGGAGAGGTTGCTCTAATCCACTGCATTACGGATCAAATCCAATGCTCTAATTTATCCTTTAAAGCCACGGATCTACAGATTACCTCTATGACCGCTGCCCTGCTCTGCACGAAATTAGAAAATGCACGAAACAGCTGGTCAAGTGCTGTTCGGATGCAACCTGCGGCTCGGGGCTACCGAGCCGGGCGGCCCCGCAGCCCCGGCTCCGATCGGGCACGGCGCATCTCCGCTGGCCTGACGGTCACCCTAGACCCGAACCCCCGGCCCCGGGGCTCAGCTTGCATTGCCTTGCATCACAGAAAAGCCCGGGGGACCAAACGCAGAGGGGAGACGTCCGGGTGGCGATGTGAGTGCCCCGGCACACCAATCACTCCCTCGCCAGCACCCCCAGCGCTCCTCAGCGCTGCGGTGCCTGCAGAGCCCCATGGCCGGGGGGATAGGGCTCCCCTTGTCCCTGCGGCGCGGGGGGCTGCACGCCGCCACCCTGCAGTCCCCTTGTCCCCAGGGGCGGCGGGGGCCGCCCGGTACCGGCATGTCTGGCGGCGGCGGAGACGCTGCTACCCCCCGCCGAGGCGAGACCCCCGGCCATGCCGAGCCCCCCGCAGCAGCCAAGCCGGAGCACAGCCCGGCGTCTGCCGCGGACTCCCCCTTCCTCTCGCTCTCCCTTTCCCTCTCCCTTTCCCTCTCCCTTTCCCTTTTTTCTTGTCCCGCCCGGTTCGGCCTTGTGCCTGCCGTACCCTCTCGACCCGTGTTTGTCCGTCTCTTTGCCTGTCTCTCTCTCCTTGTTCTGTGCTTTTCAGTCCCTGTCCTCTCTTCTCCCTCTCCTTCGCTCTCTCTCCCTCCCTCCCCAGACTTGTTCTTGCCTGGTCCTCTCCCTCTCTCGACTCTATCCCTACCGGTGTTCCTGTCTCTGCCGGTGCCCCTTTCCGGCCCGTCCCCGCTCGATGGCCTGGAGCTCTCCCTTCAGCACCACCCGCACCTGCGCCGGGTCCCGCCACCTGCCCCTGGCTGTGCCGAGATCTGCCTGGGGCGCTGAGGTTCTGACAGACCCACGGGGAGAGCAGAAGGGTGGAAAGGGACCTCCTGCTCTTCCCAGACAGTAGAGCATCTTTCCTTCCCGCAGTGTGGATGTGGGAGGCAGGATGAGGTTGCAGTGTGTCTCCCTATGCCCCAAAGCTGCCCCAGTTGGAACCAGCATACGAGGCAAGAGGAAAAATGAGGGAACATCTCTGCAGGTTCAGAGCCAACCTGGGTTTGTAGGGCACCTTTGCACAACAGCAGGTAGCTAGGAAACGATTTGAGCTGGGCAGGTGGTGCCTGGGCATTGTGGCATGCTGGTAGAAGCTTTGCAGACATGTGTTTACCCTCTGACAGCTGCCCACCCTCACCCCACTCTGCCCACCTACACAGCCCTTGTACTGTCTACACAGATGCAGCCTCTCGCTCTCCTACACACCTCCGTGCAGCACCCTCCCAGCTCTGATGAAAAGCCTCCCTGTCTCGCTCCCACAGATGAGCCACCCATGAGAGAAGAAAGGGAGAGAAGAGAGCTGTTGAGCTGCAGCTTTGCCTCTGGAGGCAGGCAAACTCTGCTCTGGTCAAAAGTCAAAGAAAGATGTGTTTAACCAAATCTCAGGTCCTGGGCTTACTAGCCAGCCTCTCAGCACAGATTCTGCTCCTCCAAAAGAGACTCTCACTTTGCCTGGAGGTTCAGAGCAAGATTGAAACATGTTTCATGTCTCAGTGTCTAGGGAGAGAGGCCTGGAGGAGAGGAGAGTGGCTGTGTTTGTCTGCTGCGCAGGTGTAGCAGGGTTCTTCATCAGACCTAACTTTTTTGTCCCAGATAACTTCCATGATTCAACATTTCTGAGAAAAAACAGTGTCACTAATAAAAGCAGGAGCAAACCAAGCCTGTAGGCACTGGATCTGCAGTGACAAACCACCGAGAGACATCTTCGGCGGAACTGGAGGGAAAGCTGCTCAGAACTGATCCAGCTTTCACTCCCACCTCCCTCATTCTCCTGTCACAACTACTGAGAATAAAAATCTCCAATGCTCCCTCAACTCATCAATTTAAAGTAGACTGAGCCTTGCAATAGAGATACAGGATCCAGCCTGGGTTTTATCTTTACATAAGCAGACTGTGTTTTCTCCATGTTTTAACAGCTTACATCAAAATAATAATAACAAAAAATACAGAGAAGCCTTTTCATGTCATGGAAGACTGAGTGAAGGGACTGTGTCTCATGGATGACATTAATCCTGCCTCCATAGGGAGTGTCAGGAGCTGTAACCAAGCAGAGGGAGGGAGAGAGGAAGAAAGGAAGGGAAGGAATAGTGAAAGGGAAGTGATAAGGAAGGAACAGGGAAGGGAAAGAATAAGGAAGGGAAGGGAAGGGAAGGGAAGGGAAGGGAAGGGAAGGGAAGGGAAGGGAAGGGAAGGGAAGGGAAGGGAAGGGAAGGGAAGGGAGAGGGAGAGGGAGAGGGAGAGGGAAGGGAGAGGGAAGGGAAGGGAAAAGGAAGGGAAGGGGGAAGGGAAAAGGAAGGGAAGAGGGAAGGGAGAGGGAAGGGAATGGAACAGAAGGGAAAGAAAGGAATGGGGAAAGGAAGGGGAAGGGAGGGGAAGGGAAGGAATAGGGAAGGAATAGGGAAAGGAAGGGAAGGGATAGGGAAAGGAAGGGAAGGGAGGGGAAGGAATAGGAAATGGAAGGGAAGGAATAGGGAAAGGAAGGGGAAGGGAGAGGAAGAGAAGAGAAGGAATAGGTAAGGAATAGGGAAAGTATAGGGAAGGAATAGGGAAAGGAAGGGGAAGGGAGGGGAAGGGAAGAGAAGGAATAGGTAAGGAATAGGGAAAGGAAGCAGAAGGGAGAGGAAGGGAAGGAATAGGGAAGGAATGGGAAAAAGAAGGGAAGTGAGGGGAAGGGAAGGAATAGGAAATGGAAGGGAAGGAATAGGGAAAGAATACGGAAGGAACAGGGAAAGGAAGGGGAAGGCAGGGGAAGGAATAGGGAAGGAATAGGGAAAGGAAGGGAAGGGAGGGGAAGGAATAGGAAATTGAAGGGAAGGAATAGGGAAAGAATATGGAAGGAATGGAAGGAATAGGAAAAGAAAGGGAGGGAATAGGAAAAGAGTAGGGAAGGAATAGGGAAGGAATGGGGAAAGGAAGGCAAGGGAGGGGAAGGAATAGGAAATGCAAGGGAAGGAATAGGGAAAGAATAGGGAAGGAATAGAGAAAGGAAGGGAAGGGAGGGGAAGGAATAGGAAATTGAAGGGAAGGAATAGGGAAAGGAAGGGAAGGGAGGGGAAGGTAAGGAATAGGAAATTGAAGGGAAGGAAGAGGGAAAGGAAGGGAAGGGAGGGGAAGGGAAGGAATAGGAAATGGAAGGGAAGGAATAGGGAAAGAATAGGGAAGGAGTAGGGAAGGGAAAGGAAAGGAGTGGAAAGGAAGGGAAGGAATAGGAAAAGAAAGGGAGGGAACAGGAAAAGAGTAGGGAAAGAATAGGGAAGTGAAGGAATAGAGAAGAGAAGGAATAGGGAAGGAATAGGGAAAGGAAGGGAAAGAATAGGGAAGGAACAGAGAAAGGAAGGGAAGGGAAGGAATAGGGAAAGGAAGGGAAGGGAAGGAACAGGGAAAGGATAGGGAAGGGAAAGGAGGGGAAGGGAAGGAATAGGAAAAGAAAGGGAGGGAATAGGAAAAGGGTAGGGAAGGAATAGGGAAGGGAAGGGAAGGGAAGGGAGGGGAAGGGAAGGAAAAATCCATTTTCCACTGGAATGGAAGAATGGTGAAGCAGATCCCCCCCCCCCCCCCCCATTCTCTTTAAGATGCTCCTGCAAAGTGATGCTTATGATCTGTCACTGTCAAAATACTGGCTTCGTATTTTAGGATAAAGTAAAAAAAAAAAAAAAAGAAAAACCCACCAAAAAAAACACCAAAAAAAAAGTAATTCCTCATTCAGTGCTGTAGTGTTGATATGATGAGCTGTTGGCAGGACGGGGGAGAAGTTGTCTGGGGATGAATTTGCCTATGCACGTGCATGTGTATGCAAGATGGGTAGATAAGGAGATGAGCACAGGGAGTATGTGAATAACAAGAACAGTAGTTAATTTGGAGCAAGCATTAGAAAATAACAATATTTACTGCAGGAATTTGATATTTTCCTGCTGTAAAACCAACATAATGAGAGAACTTGGATGTGTGGCACTCATAAATATTATCTCAGTTTTCCTTCTCTGTGGAGATAGAGTTCCCTTGGACAGAGTCTGCTTGTGACCCATGAGATGGAGTATTTCCCCATCCCACCTTTCAACCATAGGTAAATCACTTCACCCATGTGTCAATATTTTCCTGGTTTTTGAATAGGGTAGAGATTATGCTGTATGCCTTTCTTTGGAAAACCTTGACAGCTGGGCATAAGGAATTCCTGTAAGAGCAATTTATTGTTGTTATTACATACTGTGTAGATGTCCTCCAGAAATTAGCACAGCATATCACAGCCAGCCCCTCTCCCTCACCCCAGACTTGACATTGCTGAGTGTCACCATTCTGCTCTCCCCTATGTCCAGTCCAGGCGGGGGCTTTCTCTGTTATGGGCCCTTTCCCTTATGTCCCTTCAGCAAGCAGGGTGAGAAGGCGCTGGAATAATCTATACAGCTGTCATCCAACTGGTGCTTTCATCTTCTAGTTCAATAACCTGGGCTACACTTGATGATGACTGGCAGGTGACAGTTTTGGTAGCTTGGTTCCCAGATCTCTGAGTTGTCTGTGCTCAGATGTTTTAAGAAGAATAAAATACAGTTTCAGTGAATGCCATGCTCTGATACAGCCTGCTCAACATCTTTCAAGGTCTCGCTTTAAATTGAATCCCAAATTATGTATAATTTCTTCCAACTCCAAACGTGCATTGCCTCAGACAGCCCCATTAGTTTAGCATTCATG